GATGAGTTTCCGATTTCCAACTTTGCCTTGAATAGTCATTTTACGTAACGGGAGTGAAAGTTATCAATACGCTATTTTTTAATACAAGATTTGTGAAGGATTGGAAAATGTACATTTTATTATGTAAAAAACCTTTACGATTATAACCATAATGACTCAAATTAATATTTGAATCTATTTAACCAAATTTGAAAATTCAAACAGAATTCGACAGATGACTGAGATGACGGATGATAGAGTTATGTGGAGAACAAAAACCCCAATCCTACAGGAATAGGATAAGGAGGAAGATAATGATAAATTAGATAAAGGGGTAAAATTATCATGATATACTTATTACAAGTGCAGTGATTTCCTTTAAGTGTGCTGAAGCGAATATTCATAGTTTTAATATATACGAATTCGGCTTGTTTCTGCGAATATTCTATTCCAATATAAGCTATTTCAGTTTGCCTTGAAATCTAGCCAAGACACACATTCATTAAGTTTCAAAATGACGTAGCTTACAGCTATAGAAATATTTTCCGGTCTCGCTCCTCGGGACCAATATTTTTAACACTTTTACAATTTTGTAGGATTATATTGTTAAAATTTGAAAAGTAAGCAATTTTGTTTATTTTAAACGTCATTTTATCATACTTGTATGAAAGTATTTTTAGAATGTTGCATGAGTAAACAAATACATGGCATCACTTACGCATTAAAACACGATACGTAGTTATGCAAACCTAAATGTTTTCTGTAAAATACCTTATCTATGCTGGGTTTCTGAAGTTCCCATTTATTTGATCATTAGTGAATCATTAATGTTAGGTTGACCTATGTTTCAACAGAGTAAAACACAGTGTACGTATCTAGTTCGGAAACGCATTTCATCGAACCAAAAGTAACGAATTGTTAAACGTAGCTAAGAAACCGGTTATTATTCTATTAAAGGATATTATCTTTGTGATTTATTATTAGAGTGGTATTTTAGTTGGTCTGAAAAGTTTTCTTAACTAATTCTGCGACCCGACCCTTGAAATTATTTGACTGTAACGAAGTTACGAGTTTTAGAATTACTAAGTCGGTGATATTTTAACATGCTTATCGTTCTTGCATTAATTGTAATTACACACTAGATACATTGATTAGAAAGTTTAAGCATTAACAAACAGTGAAAAGTTAGACATCCTCATGTAATACTAATACATAGGTTACCCCTTAGGAGCCCCTTAGTGGGGTTGTATAGTTAGTGGTGACGATTACCTGTGGTAGAATATTATATAATTTCAATAAAGGTAAAAATAAGTCTTTATTAAAAGGAGAAGTCTTGAGAAACTTTTCCCAGGTTTCATTTTGAGATATACAACGTCATAACATCGAGCTATTTATTATTCGCCGAGAAAAAGCTTTTGAAATAAACGTGAAAGTTCTACTACAAGAAAAAAATATAATTTATTTCTTTTGCATTTCAGTTACAGTACTAAATAATAAAATCTTAACCTATAAATTTTCAGTTAATAACTAATTTTATATTAATCGATTATTAATTAATAAAATTAGTATGTACTGGGTAAATAGGTGCAGTTAAGGAATTAATTTCGCTTCCCACTCCGGAATATGGTCACAGTACCTATATGCTAAATACAACTCTAGTCGTCATCTCTGGAAACTTTGGTAACTCATCATCGAGGTAGATGGATCTCATCTCATCATCTAGGATACAGAAGGTACAGTATCCTACTCTCGTAGAGTCGGCGCACCGGGTTTTCGTCCTCAGGATAACTCTATCATCCGTCATCTCAGTCGTCACTCCCTTCTTGATCATGTCACCTTTCACGCAATTCATACATCTCTTTCTATGTCTACCTCTACTGGTTGGTGTTCCTCTCCATAACGTCCTTGTTACATGCGATTCTTGTAAGTGAATTAAAAAAAATGGCAATGTTGAATTGAGTAGAGTTCTCAATGAATAAAACATTGTTTCTTGTACTCGCGTTTGCAATTCAAATACCTATTATGGCCATTTTGTATTAATAGTATCATTTGAATCGCAAAGAGCTCATTGCGCTGTGAACACTGGTACGGAATTGGACCATTACGTACAGCATTGACATAGTACAATATTAGTGTGGGTTTCCACTGTAAAATGGTTGTGCAAAAACATTACATCGTGTGATTCTTCTTTGTTCTTATATAAAAGATGTGCTGTTATGTGCAACATATCATATACTTCATCTATCTGTACTATTATAATAAAGGGTAAACACACACTTGTTTGTTGCCTAAGATGTCAACAATTACGGCATGTTTTTGAATAACTCTTTTTTTAATAAATGGCCCTATACTAACGTCACGCTTTTGGCTATATATTTCACGCCATTAAACTTAGGGGTAAATATTTTGGATATGCTGCCAACATCAAGGCAGCAAAATATTTACCATTTTGGATAAAAACCCTAGTGTGGGAAAGAGATCATAAGTTGCTGCCAACAACAAGGAAGCAAGGTTGCCATGGTTTGTCATAATGTCATGTCATTTTGCCATTTGTAATTGATAATTTGACACATGTAAACAACAAAATAAAATTATAAAAATCTTATTGGGATGAAGTCGCACGGGTACAGCTAGTAAAAATGTAGATGCAAAAGTTTAAACCGCTTAACGGATCTCGATGAAATTCACAGATGCAGAACATAGTATTAAAGTACACGTATGCCACCTACTAAGTTTTTTGTTTTTTATTTATTAAATTTCAACAAACTACATTTTCATATAATTAAGTTTGTGTAGTTGTTTCATAAAGTTGAAGAGGCGGCCAAAAGCTTATTAAAAATTATTATTGTTGTTTTTTTTTTCATATTTCTCATATCTTTATTATGAAAAGAGGCGGAGTTTTTCATATTCTATTACCGATATTCCTCCCAGCTTCCAATATTCTTATCCAAGAATATAAATGATCTCATTCAGAAATAAATTAGTTTTACTCCACAAGGAATACCGTAAAACAGGCTTACATATACGAACACCAATTTACTTTTCACTCTTTGATAGTTCAATCACCAGACTAATAATAAAAAAATAATTTATACATACTTACCAACCATCATCATTATTAACTACTAGCGTTTGCCTGCGACTCCGTCCGCATAGAGGTAAAAAATTAGCCTATGTGTTCTTCCAAATTATGTTCTACATCTATGCCACATTTCAATCAGATCGGTTCAGCCGTTTAGGCTACAAACTCTAACAAACATCCATCTATCTAAACTGTCGCATTTATATTAATATGATTTAAATATAATTATTTACAGCCTTATAAATAAACGCGGTAAAATAAACTTAGGAATAAACTCAGTATAAGCAAAATTTGTACTAATATTTAATAAAATAAATATTATTTTATTGATTTTAAGAAATCGCAATGGAACACAAAAGATCTGTTATATCCGAAAAGATTTTTATACGTAATACGTCATGATCGGCTCGCACGAATTTACTACCGCTATTAGATGACACGATATATTGAAAGGATCGAGATGTTATCGCCCTACCGTGAATTGAATTCTATTCTACTGCTACTGGAGAAAGATATTTTGGTTTTACGTTCTTTGACGAAAGAATAGAATCGTTGATAAAAGAATAAAGATCATATTTCTGTAAGTTAGGTACTTTAATTCTTATAGGATGGGAAATACTAATCTCAAATTAATAATTATATCAAATGTAAATGTTCAGAAGTGTTATGTCGGGGTTGAGTGGCCAGTGTACGCCACTCAAAACCTTTTTTACTTTCTAATAATATTCCTATTATAAGAAAGTAAAAAAGTTCTCGTAAAAAAAAATCTATTCCTATTCCAGATATAATAATGACACATGAATATGAGATTCCTAGAATTATTTTTAAAGTACAAAACAATAGATAATTCAAATATTGTACAACAGTAAACAATATCTGTTTTTATAGTGATTTTTGTAATATTTTGAAGTCCTATTTTTACATAGATGAATACCAAAATATACAAACAATATTAAAATGCTAATAACGGAACATATAATTGTTACTCAATTCGTATTAGAATTTATTTTTTTTATAATAAAAGGGGGCAAACAAGCGTTGAGATCACCGAGGTGGTCAACGACGCCCATGTACATCCGTAACACCAGAGGAACTGCAGATGCGTTGTCAGCCTTTGAGGAAATGATAGTCTCGCTTCTTGAAGGACCCTAAGTCGTATTGGTTTGGACCGCCGAGGACAGACCGTTCCACAACGTGGCTGTGCGGGGCAGAAAGTTCCGCGCAAACCGTACGGTTGTCGAATGCCAGCTATCCACAACCAAAACATCTAATGCCACCGTTAAACAGATCAATTCACAATCAACTTTGTAGAACTTTCTTAACTACTTAACTATGTTTTATTTTCTGAGAAGAAACTCCCAATTCTGCTTGTGACACTATATTAATCATTTTTTCCCTTACGTGGTTGTCATCGAGGGAATTGTTCGTAATGATATCGCTTTCATATATTTTTTTATGTTACTTACATTTGTAATTTCTTTGAAGTTACAATGTACCAGATTTTATATACTGACCAACAAGTAACAAGCTGGCAAAGACAGACGTTAAATGGACATTAAGGGTCTGAGTATTTAGTAATCAAGTCTAAGGGCGCACACCTTTGACTAAAGTATCGCACAACGGTCGTGCGATTGTCGATTGTTTCGCAGTCCATTCAACTGTTTAATTGCACAACTAAAAATCAAGTGCGCACCACCGTAAAAGCTAATAAAAAAGATACTTACGACACGCTTTCGGCTATATGTTTTCACGCTATTAAACATGGGAGATAAGTAAATTGGAAAAAATACTAAAGAAACCACAAATTTCAAGCTGTCAACATCAAGGAAGCAAAATTGCCATCGTTGCCATTTGTGCATTTGAATATTGACATTTTCAATTGAGAATTTGACAAATGTAAACAGAAAAAATAAGTTTTTATAATTGCGGATGAAGCCGTGCGGGAACAGATAGTTATTAAATAAAAAATGTAAATATATCACAGCTTGTAGATTACGTCTCAGTTGGTCCAGAGGTAAAAAGTAGTAACCCTTAATTTATCTTTCATTAATTCTGAGTTGCCTCAATATTTACGAGTCACTGGCGTTAAACTAAAGTTTTCCAATACAACCGGAGCAACTCTTCGAGATTCTTCAATCAGCAATTTGTAATCATTAGTAAGACTATTAACGGTTTTAAGTAGTTTCTCGAATATTTTTAATGTTCTTGTTTGTTCTAGAAAGAAAGAGTTTTTCAAACTTATACACCAGAAGGGTAAGAAGGGATTTTTTTTAATTCCTTGTAAATAGATTTTTTTCTATATAATCTATTCTCTATCTATCTATTATTTCTGAAATTTTGCAGAAATTACCTGAAAAAAAAAACAATCTTAGCGGCACATAAACATTGTATCTACTGAATCCATTTGAGTAACTCAAACGCAAATCAAATTACTTTACTTCGAAATTCTATAAAAGATTTGTTAGAAAATCTCGGAGAGAAACTCGTTGCTAGTTATTTTCTTATTTAATCAAATATATAAGTGCAATAAATAAATTTAAATTTACACAAAAATAACGAATTTTTATGAATTAAATTGAGTTGTAGTTTATTATTACGTGCAGTGTGATGTTTTTCGTAGATAGTGAATTTAAAACTAAAGAAAAGCCTTCTATATTATACTAATGTTATAAATGCGAAAGTTTAGATGGATGGATGGATGTTTGTTATAGTTTGTAGCCTAAACTGCTGTACGGATCTCAATGAAATTTGGCATAGATGTATATGATAGTCTGAAAGAATACATAGACCACTTGTTTTTTTTTAATACCACGCGGACGAAGTCGCGGGCGAAAGCTAGTTGAAGAATGAAACATTATGTTACATGTGTAAAATACATCATAATTTTGTAGCATTGTTTCAACTTTTTTTATTATTAACAATTACATCTGCTTTTCTATAAAGATTTACTTTACATTGTTCGTATTTTTAAAGATTGAGCCTTGATTAAACTTTTTTTCCATAACAAGGCACGAACATCAAACATGTTATCATTTATTCAGAGCTAATCCGAACCCTCGTAATACCTCGCTCATAACATTTTGAAGCAAAATTTCGAAAGTACATCAACATTTAATTTATTATACAAGGATAACCTTTCTGATTATATAGTCTTATTTATTATTTAATTTATTCTGCCACTAACTTTCGCTCGTGACTCCGTTTGCGTGGAATTAAAAAAGTAGCCTATGTATTCTTCCAGACTAAACTCTACATCTGTACTAAATTTCATTGAAATCCGTTTAGCCGCTTAAGCTACAAACATCTATCCATCCATCCATTCATTTAAACTTTCGCAATGACCCGAGTTCAGTTTATTAATTAATAAATTTGTATTTCTGTATGAGTCAAAATAACTCAAAAACCACTGAGCCAACTTTTAAAATTATTTCACTATTAAAAAGCTACGTTAACAGTGAGTAATATAGGTCAGGTTTTTAATGACTTTTATTTCAAGCGTGCGAAGTCGTGAGTTTACGATAGTATTCTAATATAGTTGTCGCACGTGACAGCCCGCGCGAAAAAAAAGTAGCCTATGTGTTCCCGTATATCTTTTACATTCTGTGCCACATTTCAACGAGATTGTTTAACCGTTTTGGATATATGTTACAAACATTCATCCAAACATTCGCATTTATTATTTGAGCAAGAAGTTAATAAGATTGCAAAGTTAAAACTAAAAATGTGAAATCTATTCAATCTATTAAAAGATCTACAGTTTCAAGTTTTCAATATATTCAATTGTTCATCGGTTGAATCCGTCCGATGGAACAAGGACGGATTGCTGCAACGTTTTTTATTCTCTAAAAAGCATTCCCGTGTCCTATAATCGACATTCGAAAATCCGACAGATTTGGATTTGAATGAAGTAGATAAAGCCTCGTATATAAATCAATAAGATTTTTTTAAACTAAAGACATTTTTTGTCGTCTTTGATTGAAAAGATATTCTTCATTTACATAAAACTTCCTAGAATTGTTATTACATTCAAGTATTGTTAATGAATTTGAATATTTAATAAATTATACATTTTTTACTACCCCCTATACATAAATTTTTTTTTTTGATTTTTGTATGTACTGAAATAACTCAAAAAGTACTGGGCCGATTTTAAAACTTCTTTTACCGTTAGAAAGGTAATTTATCGGTGATCAACCTGGGCTACATTTATGTTATTTTTGGATTTCACGCAAACGAAGTTGCAAGCAACAGCTAGTTAGCTATAATTTCTAGTAGTTAATGAGAATTTAGAACTATATAGAATTTTATCGTTGGATATCTTTTGTATTATGAAAAATCTTGGCATTTGTTAATTTAATTATTATAATTATAGTAATACTTTGTTATCTAATACTTGAATAATGAAATGATTAAATTATTTTAATACGACGGCCACCCTTTATTGTCAGACTTAATAAGCCATAAACGGGTTTAGTAGAAACAACCCCAATGGAGCAGTTTACTTGAGCACTAAAACCGAAAACATTTCTAGTTGTGTTAAACATACAATTGGACGGATTTACGATTTGTACTTTATACGCGATCCTTGTTTATGTCTTACAGTTAACAGGCGAAACTAAATTGGCTATTTTTTTCGTAGAAATTAATTTGCTTTCATTATTTAATTACAAAAGCAACATACGACAGAAAACCGAAATTTAGTTTAGTTCTCTTTACTACGAGTATCTATGGACATGTTATGCGACGAGGCGATGGGGACATAAAGCAGAAAGTGTTAAGAATAAATGTGGATGGCTGCAAAGGAACAGGAAGACCGAAGAAAGTATGGATTGTGTGAAAGAGGATATGCTTAAGAAAGGAGTGGTTTCAGGTACGACGGCTGATTTTTTTCTTTATAACATAAAATGGCAAACGAGCAAGCGGCCACCTGAATCCGCCAAAATGGCGAAGCGACCGCTGCCCATAGACATCTGCAATTGCAGATGCGTCGCCTACCCTTATCCGACGGAGGAGGAGACGCACATAAAGAGGATATTTCCTCTTCCTATGCATCTCCTCCATTGTTAAATCCACTTCCCCTTCCCATCCTCTCATAAGAAAAGGGTGTAAAGAGAAAGGGACTTAAATTAGGCCTACGGCACCACACTCATCAGACGAAACACGGCATTGGTTCCATTTCACGCCTGTCTTCTGTGTGGTTGGGATAACGGCAAGTTGATGACTACTAGTATCTAGTGACTTTACCAACTTACGTTACTATACCAACCATTTTAAAAACACTAAAAAGTGAATGTTATAAAATTATGGCTTACGATTATCTACGAGTACATAGGAGCCATCGATAATATTTTTTAAAGAACATGAGATATCTAATATTGTTGTATTTAGGTAGTGGAAACCAATAATACATGTATTTGTAATTGTCAAATCTATTTACTGGAATTCTTTGTACAAATTTCGTTTAATAACAGATAGTAGTGTTTTAATTGAAATTTCATGTTTCCTATGACAGTATCACTAACAAACACCAGACTAGACCAGTACTCCGATCGCTCATCAAATACTCACAAAGCCCTATTGGAGTCGAGCAAATTTACTCAGGACTAAGACGTAATGGAATGATAACAAACTGTTGCAGCTTGTGTTAAACTAAATTTGTTTAGGTTGTGACCACACAACCGTGAAGAGGAAACGTCACGCGTGAAATTGTTCTTTGATACAAAAATGTACAGATGGAAAGTTAAAATTAAAAGAAATACGGATGTCTATGGTCGGTCGCTTCGCTATTGTCACATTCCAGAGGCCGCTAGGTCGTTTGTCATAAGATAACAGAGAGAATAGAAGAATATCATGCAGTAAATTGACATCAAGAGTTTCGACCTCATTGTAGTTATTGTAAACTTTAAATGACCTTTCATGTGTGTTTCCCGTTGGGCCGATCGGCCTACTTATGAGTTGCTCTTGTAGATTTTTCCCATTGGGGCAATTGATTGTTTAGATTGATGGGACACATTGGGGCAATTGATTGTATAGATTGATTGGGACACATTGTATCGAAACACTAATTTTAAACTGAATGAGTAAGGCAATTTCCTCATTTGCACATCAATGACAATCCGAGAAATATAAATGATTTCCTCGCACTCATATTGACGAATTACTACATTTAATCAAAATGTAAGAACAGTAGGGATGTAACATTTCATTATTCGCTCGAACAAATAATGTAACCGGTAGCAACCCTATTCTCATTTTCCGACACTCACCGCATACGGGAGAAGCAATTTTGAATACACGCTTTTCTACTAAATTGCTTTTAGTGGGAATTATGTTAACATGACTTGATTGTAGAGAAGGATATACGCATTGAATAAAATTATTTAATTTTATTCAATGCGTATCTAGACGACTGCTTGTATTTAAAAGAATGGTCTTGTTTAAAAAGTGGAATTTAGCATCATATCATAACATTGAAAAGTAGCTTTCGCTCGGCTCCCGCACGCGTTGAATTAATTTTTTTTAAATTTCACCGACGTACGTTCAACAGTTTAAGCTACAAACTCTTACAAACAGCCATCTATATAAAAATTCCATTCATAATATTAGTAATATAGTTATTTCTTGTATGTTATGTTATGTAGATACATAACATTTCTTAAATTTTTTATTGTTAACAAAATAAAAGCAACACCGAACCAAAAATGCTCCCGCTGTTTACAATACACAGAATGCTTTTTTTTTTTTTTTTTTTTTTT